TGTTTGCAAACTAAACAGCGAGGTTTATTACATTTGTAATTTCCCTGTTTGGTTTCTATTGTTTAGATATTTGGTAGAGGTGAGATAGCTGATAAGTTAGGTGATTGTTTCATTGGTGGTGGTTTATCGAAAATGTCTTTGATCTTGTTGTCGAATTAGGTTTCTTAGCGTCATTTTTAAATTGTGAATAAGTGTGTGGGAATATTGATTGTGGTTAAAAACCATATATATCAAATTATTGTTTTATTTATATATATATATATATATATATTTATCAGGATAGTTTTTATTTAGTGTATATATACGTTTTTATATATGTGTAGATTATACGTATTTTGTTTTTTTTTTTTTGAATATATCATATCTTAATATATATACAAATACTAAAACAATTTAGGTGTTGTTTATATATATCCATTTTATTAACTTTGAGAAACTGCAAACGTATCTTTTTTTTTTTTTTTTTCTCTTTATATCTTTTTTTTTTTTTATGCATAATTTGAGATGAATACACACACACAGAGCTATATATATAGAGGTATATTTAGGATATATATATATATTTTGAAACATATATATAAACATTTAATTTTTAAAATTTTGCTTGGTAAAGACCATTTCATCAATTTGTATATATTCCATTATGATTTTGGAAATAAATTTTAGAAAATATATTTTAGTTGCATCATCAGGAGGATAAATATTTATATATATTTAAGGAAGTGGTAGCATTTTGAAAAATACTGTTGAACCTTATATAAAAAAATATATATATATATATATATATTTTCATATATATATAAATTGAACTATATTCATAACATACACATAAATGACATTTTAATTTCTGTATTATAGGTATATCCGTGCTGAGCTAATTACGATCGCATAAGAATTATTGTAATTTAAACTAACATTTCGATGTCTGAAGCCGGGTAAAAATTTTCAGCTTACAAAAGGAAAAAATTAATTAAATCTTTCCATTAAATGCTGTTTCTGCTGTTAGATCCATGACAAATTCTTTTTCTTTCTTTTCTTCCTTTTTATTTTTTAATGCAGCTATTTATTAACAATCTGATAATTTTTTTTAGCAGCAGACTGTTAATAGATCTTAGGACCAAAGATTGAGATATTAAATGTTTTGAGTTTCATTGACATCTGTAAGCAGCCTAATTATTCTGAATGTGCATTAGAACTGCCCCATTCTATTTGTTGCTCAGGCAGTTGTTTCTAATGTCCTCAGCTACTTCCTTATTGATGATAATCACTTTGATAATGGTGATGACATTAAAGGCTCATTAACACTCATTTTGAAGACAATGGGGAAATTGTTAGCTATTTGCAGACTTCAGCAACTGCTTTCTTTGGCAAAGCTAAACAATTCTTTTCACTATACTTAATCAGAATCAACTTTAGTAACACTCAGTAAAATATTTGTTTACCTATGCTATCGAAAAAAAATCAACAGTGTTGCAAAGTTGCTTTTTGAAGTTCTAAATTCTGACAATAATAATGATCAAATGAATTTTAAATATTCAAAGTCAAAAATACCAAAAAGCAACTGATTTATTTTCTATTTTTTAAAAAAATAGAAGTTCCCAGTCGCTTTCCCTTCCTGACAACTGTAAAAGGTTTGCAAGATACCACAACTATTTTTTTTTTTTTTTTTGTTGTTTTAAAAAGGGCATACTATTCAGGACTTTGCTAAATTTCCCTTTTTTAAAGGAGGCAATGCATGGTTTTATGTAAATTAAAGAAAAAAAGGCTTTTGTTGTTCATCTAGCAATCAAATTTGAGAAACCTGAGATTTAATTTTTCAACTATAAGAGACCTTGATTGCAGTAAGGATCTTCTAAGTAAAAAGAGATTGTAATTAATTGTTTAAATGCCAATTATAAGTTATGAAATATAATGGTTGCAAATCTACCTCCAGCAAACTCCTCTTTGGACCCATAAATATCAGGAAAGATATATTGGACAAAATATATATATATAAGTAATTTCAGCTTTTCTTTACTAAAAATATCATCAGTAAGGTCATTTTGAGTCAACTCAAAAAATGTTTTTTTTTTTTTCCTCCTCAGAGAGAAAGAATTGACGACTTGCTAGATGATTCAAATGTGATACCAACTCAAAACCAGGTAAAATTTGTTTATTTAAATGTATAAAAAAAAAATTTCAGAACAATCTATATTTTTCTTTCATAAAACGTGGAGTAAATATTGAATCAACTACAGCAAAAATGACATTGTTGGTCTTGATCTATTTTGGCCCTGTTGATAAATGCTATTTGTGAAAAACTAAAACGTTAAAGTCCAAGAAATCTAAGACTGTTACTTATATATACTTGTAAGCAGATTCTTAAAAATATAACATTTTGAAATGTTTACTGTGATCTAGCAGACTCTTCTGTTCCTGGGATTTAAATTATGGATGTACTTACATTTGATTCCCCAAACTATTTTTAAGATTATCCTGCTTCATAATTTTAGTTTTTCTTCTCAGTTTCATAAAATGTGATGTTAGATATATTAAAAAAAAAAAAAAAAAAAATTACCAACACAAACACTTTTTCAGTTTTTTTCACATTTGGTAATGAAACCAAATTTGTCAGTTTATTCAGTTGGAATGTGCAGAAAATCAGCAAGGGAAACTTTGTGAGCTGCTTTTTTTTTTTTTCCTTTAAAAAGAGAATGTGAGTGGGAATATATATGTAATTATGGGGAGTGAAAGTGAGTGTTTGTCAGACCTACCCCCAATATGTGTCTGAAGGTGGTGGGTGATGGAATAGAGGAAGAAGACATGTAGCCATACTGGAGAAGGGTGGGAGATATGTCAGGTCAAAACAATCACATAACAACAAAACCAATAACAACCACCAGTAGGGTTCTGGAAAGTTCTTGTCTCAACTGTGACAAAAGAATTATAAAAGTTGCATGTTTGGTTGAGTTGAGGTATGATGGCACATTCAGTTTTCTTTATTTATTTTATTTTTTTTTTTTTTAATAAAAGAATAACTGTTACAGAAAATCGGCAGATACATATTTGGGTTATTATTCAGATGATTTCATCTTTGAAAATTGAAAAATAATTTTTTCACACCATGCTGATGCTTCAAATTAAACACAAAATAAAAAAATAAAATTCAAATTACCACCTCCAAAAATTAAGATTTCTCTTTTTAATTCTGACAGGAAAAAAAAGAAGGGGGAAGCATCATACAAACTGCAGCAAATTAGCTTTTACTGTCACCACAAGATTGTTTTTTGACAATAAGAAAGCCTATGAATAACATTTAGAAATGATAAAACTAGACTTTTCAAAATATCATCTGAAATCAAACCACTTTGTTTTCATTATTCAGTGCATGTCAGAATTTTTTTTTCTCTTAAATTCGGCTCTTTAGTGGGCACTTTAAATCACAGATTTCATATTGTCCCCCTTTTATTACCCCAAATTTAGTATTACATAATAGACGGAGCAACACTAGTTTGGAACGGTACATATTAGAGATTAAGGGAGGAGGGAAATAAGTAGGAGTGAGGAACAAATTGACAAAGGAAAAGAAACTCTTAAAAAAAAAATCACTCCAATTTTTTTTTTTTTATTGTAAATTCCACAACTTACTTTCATCACATAACTTCAGAGGGGAAAAACACATCCATACAAAAATTTGACAAGACAAAAAAAAAAAAGATTGGAAATGCCGGGGGGAGTTGTGGGTTTTGAAAATATAAGAGAGATTTTTTTTTTTTTTAACGCAGAATACCAATACTTTAACTTTTGATTACAAACTATCTTAACTGATTAAAAATACAAAATGGTTAACAAAATTGTTAGAATAACTTACAAAGTAGCAAACATGTTTAGTATTAAATTTCCATTATAAGCTTGCAGCATAATAAAATAAATTTTGAATTGAAACTTGAAAGAGAACTGACTTATTTATTCCCTGAGATGATTTCCATATAAACTTTTCTCAATTTTTTCTACTGATAAAAAGTATTCTATAACTTTAAGACTAATTTGAATAAGAATTTTTTTTTTCCCCCCCTTTTCTGAAAATTGACAATGGAATTCAGACTGTTTGTGTATATAAATAAAATAGAGGAACCAAAGAAAACATACGAGAAACCTGAAATAAATTTATACTTGATAGTTTAGTGTGTAAGTTAAGCAATCAGAAAGATGATCATCATATACATGGCACCAAAATATAATCTGTCAGAATTAATATTTTCATATAAAGAAGCTGTGTTCAAGAAGTTTTTTATTTGAAATACTGTGTAAAATGGAAATGTATCAAAATTCATTAAAGTATTCTGCGCAAAACTTGTTAACAGAACCAATTCCCCAAGTTATATGCATGAGTATGGCAAAAATATATCAACTTAAGTTAAAATCTTTACCCAGCCCAATTAAAATATAAAATAATAAAAATCACATAACCAGAGAAGAAATTAAAATAAAACCGAAAAAGATTAGTTTCATAACTATATTAAAAAATCAACAGTGGCTCAAAAAGCCTTACTTGTCTTGAAATCAAAGGTATAAGAACCATTTATTCTGTTAGTTACATTCATGCCTACTCACACATACATATAAAAGTGCTTTCTATTCTTGAGATCAGCTGCTGACTGGCCAAACAAGAGAGAAAAGAAGAAAAATTACTCGCTTGTTTCCTGCCACAAATAATTTCTGTCCAAGCAGATGACATTATGCTTTGTACAGGTCAACATAGAGGATAGCTATGACCAGGGAATGCTATAGCAACAACAATGTACACAGGCAGAGTCATTCATGTACCTATGCATATCAGTGTTGGACAGTAGGAAGAAGGGAGACAAATTTATCCAAGTGTCAGTTCTTCCTTCTCCTAGACAAACAAGTGAAACAAAAAAGTAAAAAGTGAATACTGGGACTTTACTCCCACTCTGTACAAGTTTAATTTATGGGGACATTCCCTGGTAGTGGTAGGAGGCTTTTGATGTCTGCAAATTTCATTTCATTTGGTTTCTTGTGTGTTGGGTGAGTCCATTTTTTGGCCGGATTTGTCCATTGGGCTTTTTGTGGTTTATGAATAATGTATCTTCTTCACTGGAAATCACCGAGTCTGTGTGCAAAGGCCCACTGAATGCCTTCAAGCGAGCTGTGACAAAAAAAATAAAAAAATATTCAGAATTACAAGATAATTTTAATTTAAAACAAAACAAAAAAAGTACTTAAATTCTTACTAAAATAACTTAAAAATATAGTTATATAATAAAATTTCTTTTTCAGTCTCATTTTTGAAAAAGAACAATTATGAATAACTGATCACAAAAAGCTTGTAAAAGAATTATGTTCAAGAATAGCTGGAACACATGTTCTCTAGCTGAAAACTTGAGTCTCATAGCCAACCATTATTTTTATAATTCCTTACTGAATTTTTCAGATGAATTATTAAACACTGGATTTATTCAAACTCGTCTCATGGTTGTTATAGTTACATTAACAACCAAGTTAATAAATCTATAATATGTTTTCATATAGTTTATTTTTTTTCTATTTCTTTTATTGCATTATTTTAAATTAGTTTTCAAAGCATATTTGTGTTCATACTAATTAAATCAACTGATCAAGAAAGTCAAAATAAATTTATGAACAGGAATAGCAAATGCTAAGTAGTAGAACCAAACAGATTGCATCAAACATTTCATTAGAAAACTGGAACATTGAATTGAAATGAACAAATATGAGAATGTTAAAGAAATTTTTCTTTTTATATAACGGAGGACATATTGAAATGATCATTCTTTAACAGAATTCATGATATATATATATAATGTGTGTAAATGAGAGTTTATATAATAATAGGTAGTTGTACTTCAAATATGAAATGCCTGACAAATTTGGCATAAATAGAATCTGAACCTTGAATTTTATCAGATTGTTTCACAATGTCCCAGTCTCAACCATGAGGATGTGTTTGGTATCTGTCAGTATTGACATAGTCATGAGCTTTGTATTTGAATATATTTAAACAGTGACATGAAACAATATTGAGTTTGAAAATTCTTTCTGTTTTAATATCCTATATAAACATTTCAAACTGTTTTACACAACTAGCATAAACAATATTTTATGTTGGACAAAATATGTAAGCTTTAAAAGATAATAATTTGAGAAACCATGCAAAGAAAACTGACATGCAGGAGTGTCTGTAAGACAGATGCTTAAAAGTGAATAAGAATTTCTTCCATAATGAATATATAAGGGGGTACTGAGAAGTTCTGCCTAAGAAGCTCTTAAAAATATATCTGATATTTCTACATAGTTACCTATTGGTCATGCATTTTCATCAGCAATGAACAAGACCATGCATACTGCACTTAAAATCTGCACCAGTGGAGGGAACCCACTGAAAACATTACCCACCACCTAACTGAGCTCACATCCACTGTTTGGTTTCTGTAAATATTCAGCAAGCATCTATGAGGAGAGGAGTTATTGTTTACATTTGACTAATCTCCTCATTTTTCTTATTTTGGCCATTGTACCTTCCCAACTTCTTTAAGTGTCTGCATCCAGATCAACAGAGTATTTCAAACTGAATACTTGATTTAATCTTTGGGGGGGGGGGTACATTGTTCTTGTTTTACTGTCCATGTCTTATTCATTTTTAGTACTGCTTAGTTATTGCTTGTCATGTTTTCACCAAGTCTAAATCTGTACTTCCTGACCCACAGATTGAACTTCCTATATTGCCAAATATATAGATGCTTTAAGCTACTGTGGGCCAAGTAGTGTAGACTTAGACTCCGTGGAGACAGAGAGCAAGAATTGAAGCTATCCCTTGACGTAAAATGAGAACAATCTACCTGTGTAGATTAAAAAAAATCGGTTCAGTTGGAACCTAAATCAACAGATACCCAAAGATGGCCGGGAAACACAACAGCCAAAATGTTTAATACAACCACTTGTTTTCCTTAAAATCCTGATTAGTATGAAAGTACTTTTAAAGATTTCTTATGGTAAATAAAGAGATAATTCAGACATTTAAGTGTCTCATAAAATAAAAATGAAAAACTATTATGATTTTGTCTATTATAGAATTTTAGGACAATATGGCTTTGGTGTTTTCTTACAAGCAGCACACTTTGTAAAAGTGAGTTGTGGGTTTTGAAAATATAAGTTAACCAAAAAAAAAAAAAAAAAAAAAGTCCTTGCTGTTTTCTTTATATCATGTGAGAAGTAATTATCACTGATATGCAAATGAGTCATTGCTCTTGACCAATATAGATATATTTTGTGCAAACACACCAGTCATAGCTCGTGCAGTGGCAAGGAAACGTGATGTCAAAGCAGCTCATTCAGGATTGTCTGCTTTATGACTTTTAAGGTGGGCTTGTGCACAGTTGCTGAATATGTCAAGCCTTTGGGGATAATGCTGTGAGAGAACACACTGCCACTCATTGGTTCCACAAGTTCAGGTCTGGAGACCTATCCCTTTGTAATGAACCACACAATGGCTGGCCACAGGTCCTGGATAATGAGGCCCTGAAGGCAGTCATAGAGGAGGACAATACCTCAACCTGTGATGAGCTTGCCAAATGCTTCCAAGTTTCTGATGAAATGGCCAGACTTCACTTGCACCAAATAAGGTAAAGTGTGCAAGTTGAGCAAGTGGGTACTGCATACACTGTTGGAAGCCAACAAGCAACAATGATTGACAGTTTATTTTTCATTGTTTTCTCAGCATCAGAACATACCTATATTTGATTGAATGCTCACCAGTGACGAAAAGTGGGTCCTATATGACACTCTCAAGCATGCCAGTTATTGGTTGTCACCATGGGACCCCTGCCCAACACCAGAAGACCACCCCTACATCCATGCAAGATCATCATGCTCTGGATCAGGTGGGCTAGTTGACAAGTGGTGCACCACAAGCTGCTCACCAACAGGCCAAACCGTCACTGCTGACCTGTACTCGCAGCAGTTGGAACATGTGCAACAAACACTGAAGAAGGAGGAGCTTGGTCAATTGCAAGTATGTGCTGATCCTCCATGACAATGCCAGGACTAAGGTTGCCATTCACCTTACTTCCCAGACATTGTGCCAATGGATTACCACCGCTTCAATTCCTTGGACAACCACCTTCTTGGAAAATACTTCACAAATGAGCCAAATTGACAGACTTCTTTGTGTCTTAGACACCTGGTTTTTACTGCCAGTGCATTGCACAGTTGGAAGTCATGGGCAAAAAAAGTTCTAGATGCTAATGGGGGGGGGGTACTTTGAGGACTTTAGGTTTGTCATATTTCATGTATACCTTTTTTTTTTCTTTCTAATAAATCAAAAATGGCAAGGACTTAATTGGTTACCTTGTATTACAATGAATGCAAATATTTTTTTTTTAAATTTATTGTTATACAGCATATTTATTTCCTTAAGAGACCAACCCCACTCTCAATCAACTCATTTAATCAACTGATTTAGGGAAATCAACTTGTTTATAACCAATCCACAAAATAAAATAAAGTGAACATCAGTTCTTGACAACTCATAATCAGGCATTTATAACTAAATATTCCTTCAAATCATTTTAATTTGTTATTCATAAATTAAAGGAAATAATTTAGGGAGAAATTTAAAATTGACATCATATTTGAAAGTATAATCAAAGAAAATAAATTCTAATCAAATTATCAAATTAAATTCAAATCCAGTTCCAAAATCCACAGATCAGAAATGGCATATTAAGTCAATAAAAGGCATGAGAGAGAGGCAGCTATGAAGCAGAAACAACCCAAAAATATTTATCAACAATATTCTCAAAATGTCAAAACCCTTAATTAAAATCTTTAATAAAATAAATTTGATGGAAAAATTAAAGCAACCAAAATAATTCCAATTCTGAAAACAAAGATTTTCTTTTATAGGAACATTGTTTCTGAATTTATTATTACCCCAACTGCATAAAATGGCAAAAGTTTTTAAAAATTATAATTGAGGTGAATAACCCATGGAGAGCTGTCCAAAATCATAGTCACCAGAAGACGATTCATCAGTATCTGATGATTCTGAAATATCAGTACAAGTAATAATACAATAATTGCCAGGGGGAGAAAAATATACAGAATGAATGCCAAATAAATTAAAGTTACTTTACATTTTGGTTTGCACATTGTCTGAGAAAATGTGCGTTACCTGTTTTATTATATTAATACTAAAATGAATACAAATGGCTGAAGTGGTTCAATAATGCAGAAAATAAGCATCATTGGCATTTGGATAAATATTCTCATTTTTATAGTTGATATTCAACATTTTTAAACAGGATGCTATGTTTTTATAGTGAAAGATTTAAATTTTAGATAGCTTTTACAGTCACTCATGTGATAAATTGTCTGCATTTAAAATCTGTTTAGTAAAAAAGATTATGGTCAGTGAAATGTAAGATGGAACAAGTTCTTTTTTTCATCATTGATAAATTATTTAATGGTCTAATTATATTCACTTATTTCCATTAAAATTAATGACTTATATGACTAATTACAGCTACTCCTTAAAAGAGCTAAAACTTGTGCATGAAAATTCTTAACATAAAAATAATTTTTACATTCTTCTTGAGAGATTATAAAAAAGAAAGTATTACTATTTTTTTTTTTTTTTTTTCAAAAATTGATTAAAAAAAAAAAAAAAAAAACAAACAAAAAAAACACACACTTACTTTTAGAATATACATCTGGACTGTCTTTGCCTGCATCTATTTGAGGAAGTAAGGAATATTTACTACGTTTTTTTGTCCTCCACCGACACCTGCGTTTTTTCCAACAGCAGCAAATTGCCCAACTAATTCCTGCTGTGCCAACAACAATTAAGAAACACACTATCACAACATACAGAATACTCCAATCTGAAAAGAAAAATCCATACATAATATTTGTTTTTAATAATGCTGAATATATTAGACATGCTTAATAGAAAAGAAAATACCAAAACCAAATAATCAATACAATTAACAAAAGATAAATTTCAGTTAGATTGCAATACATGGAATTAAAAAAATTGAGAGGACATACAAGTCAGTTTGACTGAAATGATAAAAGCATTGGCTACTTAGAGAATATTATGGACTGAGGTTTAATTGCTCTTTGATTACTGATGTCACAGTCACAGGATACACAGTTTGTCTCTGTGGGAACTAATAATGAGTGATGGTTGAGAGTATTCAAAAACATGAACTTTGAATAATTTTTTTATAAATTTGATCTGGATGTGTGACTATACACAAATGGGATAAATGTAATCAAAAGTTATACATACGTTGTTAATCAAATTTAATAAAATGTTATACAAGTATGTATTAACCATTTATACATGGCAATCTGGCATAAAGAGGGATAAATTTATTGATAAGATTTTGTTTAGAACTTTTTCTTCTGGCTGTGTTATAGCAACACTTCAAATAGTAATCTTTATTAAGTAAAAAAACTCTTATTGTTGCAGGTAAATGAAATAAAACACGCTATATATATATATATATATATATATATATGTGTGTGTGTATAAAAAGAATAAAATTACCTTTGATCAGCTTCAAAATGTGTGAAATTTAAAATAACCATTTGTGTGTTTTCTTAATTGTATGATTTAATCATTTTATTAGCTTCGAGCATATTGATTATAGGCAAGAGCATGTTTTTAATTTGTCATTCTTTGAGGATGAATAAAATATATATATATATATATACACACACACACACACACAAAAGAAGAAAGACAAATGGTTAATAAAAATAAAAAAGTTAAAAATTCATCAGCAAATATTTACCACAATTATTTTCTCCATGTAAGAGTTTAGTTCGAATAAAGTCTTGCATCCAAAATGCTTCACACATACATTGCTTTGTGTGCTGATCACATCTGCCATGGCCAGAGCAATTATTTTGGCACACTGTAATATTGAAAAAAGTATTAAAAAAACAACTTCAATTAAGATATATTTAATGTAGGAGAGTTTATATGTCCAATGTGGTTCCTTAACATTAAATACTGACAGTGTTAATTTTTTCACTGAAGTAATACATATTTCTAGATTGTTCACACAGAATCTTCTCTTTTGAGATTATCTGGAAAATCTGCATTTATTTTTTTAGTTGGTAGCAGCTTTGCCAAATTTGCATTTAATAAAATTCACTACTCATCAGTTCACTTTTTGTAGTATGATAATCAATTAACTAACAATTATACTTTTTCTTTGAATATTTGGACAAGGAATACTCAAATATTGTGTGTGTATTTTATATTTAAACTATGTCTGATAAAAAATTAATTACATTTTGGGATCATTTTCATCAACCACAATTAGTACAAAAACTTCCTAAAGCAATAAATCAAGAACAAATCCTGTGAGAAATATACCCTCAATAAATATCACTTTTCTATATTTAATTTTGTTCCATTTGAAATGTCTACATCTTATTTAACTGTTGTTTTTACTACTGTCTATAATGAACAGTGTGATTTTTTTTGTTTTTTTTTTTTTTTTTGTTCATCTTTTCATAACTTATGTCACATTAAAAACAAACATATAAAATATTAAGAAGTGAATGCTGCCTTAAAGCAGGCATGTAACATTCACTACACCAGCATTCTGCTGCTTGAACTGCACAGTAACTTGCAAAGAGGTAAATAGAGTATGGAGATGCTACACTCATTCTCAAATACTCTGATCCTAGGTAGAAATGCCAATCCATAAGTAAGTTAATAATCCCATTATTTTTTATGGGTACTATACTAGTTAGGAAAAAAAATGGCTACTCTCTCATTTAAAACAAGAGTTTTTTTTTTTATCAGGAGAACCTTAAAATGATATCTAAGAAACCAATAAAAAGCATCAATATAAAACGAACATGTTTATTCTCCATTATCAATAGATTATATAAGGAAAATTAATAATGGTCTTGTATTCCACATTAAATAGGGTCCTAGTTGTTAACCATATGAGTGCAACGTTTCAAAATCCCCCCACTTAGCTAAATTAGCTTTATTATCATCAACTGAAAGTAAAAATCAGAATGTCAACTTACCCAAGGTGTCTATGCTAACAACAGGATATTCAAATATATCAGGTTGACTATATAGTTTGGGTCTCAGATTATGCAGTACATCAATGCCTCTCTTGAAATTTTGAGAGTCCTTCATCACAGTAAGAGCATAAAAAACCATTTTGAGGCTGAAACAAATAATAGAAGTTTAAATTATTAGTCTTAAAATACAATGCATTAAATACTAGTTATTTGATAGAAATTAAGATTTAAGTATTTCTTAATATTAAACTATTTTTTTCTTTGTAATAAATTTTGGAATAGGTAATAACAGAAAATAATTAGATTTATTTTAATGTATATGAATTCATATATGCATGACAATTCAACAGCAAACAATGGCATTTAAACTAACATATTATTTTCTATATTAGATCAGAGTGTAGTGTAACATAATAGATTGCCCATATTATTGGCTTGGAATACCCATGAAGTGGACTGTGAATGGTTTTATATGGACTGAAGCACAGCAGTTTTTATAACTATATAGGCAAATCATGTATAGAGAAAATCTTTAAAGTGCCTCCTAACCTGGCTAACCAAAAGGAAATAAACGAAAATAAATTAAAACTTGGTCAGAAATTAGAAAGTTTCAGTCCGAGTTAGAATAGGCAGAATAGTTTCAAGCCACTTGTGGATGAGTTGTGAGCTTAGCATTGTGGTGCTGAGATGGGCACAAGACTGGTAGGAAAGAGTCCTCACTGGCTGAAGGGAATAGCTGATTCATTAGTCCATTGTAACAGTTGTTCAAAGTGTCACCTATATTCACCTCCCGACTGTTCCAAGTGAATCCCTAAATAAAATAACTAATTGAATAGAAACTAGATTAACCTTTTCATTTCTTGCTGTGGAATTAGTTTTACCCTTCATTTTCCTTGTGAATGTATGCAGGGCCTCGGGAACTTTTGTTTTTGTTCATACTGACACAAATAAGAATCAAATTGAAACACAATGTGGGGCTATGTATTTAGTTAGCGAAAGATTGAGAGAAGAGCCCTAGTGGTATGTTTACATAGTATTTGTGATCACTGGCTCTTCTGAGCTGGAATCAGCTCCCTGGTCAAGAAATTGGCATAATATTAAGTGAAAAACAACTGGGAAAAGCTAGAGAGATAGGTGTAAAGAAAAAAGAAGAAAACCAGGTGAAAAGAAAAAAATAAATAAGAGAGGAAGGGATGGAGACAAGAAATAGAGAGACATGCTTACTTGAACATTGAGAGACAATGAACAAAGGATGGAAAGGTATAAAAATTGCAATATAGGAAGAGAGAAAAAAAGCTAAAAAGAAGATATAGTAGAAAATGTGTATATTCTTTATTATTCTTTCATATATAAAATTTATCATGTGTATATATTTAGATAAAACACAAATGCAGAAAAAAAAAAAAGCTTGTAACAGTTATAAAGGCAAAAATGAAATTAAAGAAAAGCAGAGGACAATAGATAATATTTGTGTTTCTAGGAGTCCAATTCTTAAATAGACATATACAACTATAAAGTATCATCTGAGTCCATTTGTCTATAAGTACAAATATTACTAATTTCATTGTTTCCAACTGACTGATGACCAGAAAATGCTTCAGTGTTAATTTAATGTGATCATCATCTGAAGTACTTTCTTGGTATAGTTTGGTATTTATGTATTATCATATGTATACATGCAAAAAAAACAAAAAAAAAACAAACAAACTTTACAATTTTATTATCTATATAGTGAAAGAACATAGACAGAAAATGGGCTGCTGTGTTTGTGTGTTTGCATCTGATGCAAGTAATACTACAACTACTGACAATGATATCACAGTAAGCAGTTATAGTTATCTCTATTTTTTTTTCTCATGTTCAAAAGGAAATTCATTTTTTTTTTTTATCCAACTCTGTTGCTTTATTATTTTAAAAATATTAAAAACAATCTGTATCATTTGTTCATATTTTATAGATATTACACTCTGATCCTAGGCAAAAGTGAGGGATAGTAAAATGTGATCATGAAAGAACTTCTACAGTAAAGATGTATTATACACTCAGTGAGGATTGGCGTCATTATGAATGAGTTTTGAAAACACTTTGTTAATCATTACACCACAAGGAGGCACCTATTTGTTTTTTTTTTATTAAAAACTTACCTTAGTTTGGCACTAGGCCACAAATATAAGCAACATGGTGAGGAATATATAAGTTATTTAGTTTCTTTAAAATAAAAAAATCATCTCATTGAAATTCAAATATATCTGATTTTTTAACAACTATTTATAAACAAAAAGTTAGCAATTTTGGTCAAGTTTAAACAAGAGTTCACTTATTATCTAAAGTCAAACTTTACTTTTAATATACTTCCTAAAATCAATGAATTTTTAAACATCAAATTAATTTCATGGCTAAACTAAGTAATACATGCACATTTAGACAAAGATATTAAGAGAGCATAACAAAAATTGTTGAACAACAATATTTTTAACTCAATGCTTACTGTCCGCTGGAAGGGTCTTCAAAGATTTTTTGTGTTTTTATAACACTATCTCCTTCTGAGGATGATTTATGTAACAACAATGCCAACTGACTTTCCATATTGGTCTGTTTAGGAATAAATGAAATAAATTTTTGTGACATTTCAATGCATAGTAAATTCTTAATAGGTAGTCATAAATAATAAAAAAAAATGGCTATGAAAGTAACTATTCAAAAATTAAAGCAAACAATACATTTATTAGAAATGAAAAATACATTTTGCAAATTACAGAAAATTTGCTTAAAGGCTTTAGCCATACTCTTCAATCATTTGCTGTCATAAAATTTAGAGAGGAAAAAAATTTCCATCAAACTTAAACATTAGTAAATGATTTACAAATATTTAAAAATAAACTTACAAGACTTTTTTGTGTAAAATGTGATAAGTCTGTGTCAAGTTCAAGAACCATCTGATTTATTTGATTATGATCTGAAAATATAAACAATTATAAAGTGATAGAGTAAACACAACAGAGATGCCCAAGAGAAATGTTACATTCTATTTATGACTTATATACCTGGTCAAAACCTAACACTAGAACGAGCTAGGCTTTCAAATAGTGCTGTAGTATGATCATGAGGGTTATGGCTTTTTTGCAACCCTATGTTCTGTATCATAAATTGATTAACTTTTGTTCAAAAGTAATAAAAAAGGCATTAATTTGTTTCAGTTCTTAAAAAAAAGTCAACCCAAACCAAAAATTTGATTTTAGCATATATGTAATAAGGGTTAAAGAAATAAAATCAAAATATTTCAAAAGCTTTATTTTTCAATTTGCTAATGATGCATTTGGATAATACTTATGTATTTTTAACACATTTAACAGTTTATAGCTATAGCATGACACACAAACTTACAAATAAACAAAAACAAGTTCTAGAAGGCTCCAGAAAGTCATAGTACTAATATACTTATATATGATTTTAGAAATTTTATGTTGGGAGTGACTTTTTTTAATTTTTTTTTTTTTTTAAATAAACTGAATTAAACCTTTCTTCATTATTTTTGAAAAATGTTCATTGAATTATGATACAGGAAATCATTTATTTTACAAAAACTCATAACCCTAATGATCATATCACATAAACAAAAAAAAAAGAGTGACTGCAGTCACATTGCAAAAGCATTGTATATATGCTAAATTTCAAATAAATTTTGTTTTAATTTTATATATTCTTTATAAATTGTAGTCTATGAAAAGCTATCCTAGTATCAAAAGCAAGAAGTATAAGATTTATTAATAAAATGATCAATATGGGCATATTTGTTGTGACCACGGATTTACCTTTGGTAGTTGTTGAAGTGATGAGCAAATGTTATCATTAATTTTTTTAAAAACATTCTAAAAATGAAAATTTAAGACTAAATGTTTTGTTAAAGCTGTCTTAGTATATTTTAGTATTTGTCCTCCTTTTTCAGGCTTATAGTATTTACAAATTTATCCTTAAAAAAAAATTAAAATTCCCTTAAAGAAATCTGTTATTTCTTAAAGATTCAGCATGATATCAATTTTTCTTTACTATTCTTTTGAAGATTTCCTCTGACAACTTCCAAATATTTTTCCCGCACAGACTACTTGTGCCACTCTCATGATTTCTTTTAAATCTATATACATTTGCTACACTCTTCACATGCTCGGGCAACTTATTCCAATAACAGCTTTTCCGTAAAAGAAAAATCTACATAAATCTTAGCAAAGAATTTTGAAGTGTGTAAATAAAATAAATTCTTTGTATCAACCATTGTTCAAGTAAAAATATTAGCTTTGATAAATTCCTTGTCTTCATTAAAAATATACAACCTCCATAGCAACATGAATCATAGCAGTAGCTGAATTCATTAAGTGCTCAGAGGATTTGCTTCCACAAAACTTATTAAAACCAAGTAAAATCAGTTATAGGAAAGCAATAAAAAGTGATTATAACAAAAATTTCCAATTGAGATACTTACTTTTTTTAACAATAATTGATGCAGAATCAGAACTGCTCAGTCCTTCAGCATCAAAGACTTGAAGACTGAAAATATATCTTCCAGCAATCAAATTAACCAATTGCAAAACTGCTTGATGGTTGGAGTTGTTGGCTACATCCTGTTAAACACCACAAAAATCTCATTAATTATAAAGTATCAAGGCAAATGGCTTTAATTTTTGAATTATCAACAAATCACAAACATTTAAATTGCTGAGTTGTAAACAGGTAAGGCAGAGAAAAAGTAGAACAGATTCTGTTTACATCCCAAGGTCATTTGTGAAAAAAATGTCTTTGATCTAAAAATTTCAATTCTATTGCATGTAGAACATTTTGAAAGTACCCAATTGTTTTTTTATCTACTTTTTTGTAATCTTTCATATTAAAAATGGAGTGTGGTCAATACTGTAGCAAAACTGAAATTGTAAGACCATTAAATCAATCTTTAGTCACTCAACTTGCCAAGAATTACTGTTAGCCATGGATATAATTCAACAGAAAAACATCTTCCTGCATTTAACAGTTTGAAGCTCTGATTTGCATGTGAATTCATACTGAGGCAAAACTCTGATTAAATTTACTTATATAGGTTTGTATATTTGGAAGTGTAATTAAATATAAACATGATCTTAATTTAAAAATAAAACAAACAAGAGTACATGTTCAAGACGTCTATTTGACAATGATAATGACTGTATGAATGGGTCTATTTTGATTGTTTGTAGACAGATCAATATGTAAAATTCTCTTTGTAATGAAAAATATATATATACATTAAACACAACCAATAACAATACCTATTAAATATGTGTACATGTATATTGTTGATCATGCTACATAACACGCTTTCTGCCAGAAACTGTAACTAAGGTCTGCTCAGCATAGTTGCAGTATAAACCACAGGTGGGCTCTGTGGGTGTTGAGCAAACACAAATGTGCCTGAGTGAGCATCTGCAATAGGGACTACCTAGCTGCCCTAGTAAAGGAGTATCCTCGAATACAAGTGGACATCTACCATATATATAACAAACTAATGCAGTCAACCAAACTATTTCTGATATGCAGCTTTTACAATAAAGACTGCTCAATATAAGCAAGAGGATAGTATATTTGCATTGGGCGTATGCAAGGATGTAGCTTAAATATTAAGCTGAAACATCTCCTTACATCCAACAATAAAGTTAAATCAAGTGTATTTATAATTTCAATTTTCATATCCAAATATTGCATTTTACCAGCTGTATAAAAAATGTAAAATATCTATCACTTCTAAATACTTATACAAAAATAAAAAGCATTAAGTTTGTTTCATTAACATTTATGACTAAACTATTTATTCTTTAACAGTTTCTTTTTATTAAAAAGTCAAAGTATTATGAATCCATATCTAATGTAGGCATCATTATAAGCACTTAATTATAGTTTGTGACTATTAATCAACCTGAGTACGTTCAAAAATTGTATGTCTATTCTTGCAATAAAAGAAAAAAAGAAAATAGCAAAAATGTAAGAATTACTTACACCAGCTGCCAAACTGTCTGGTTCTCTTGTCCACTGATAACGTACAATTTTGTGATCATCTTTAGATCGTGACCCATCTACAGAGACCATATTTTGAGGGAGGATAATCACTTTATCGCCACCCGCATCAGCCACAGGAGGTTTATTTTCATCTTAAAAATTTTTTTTAGAAAACATGACAAAGACGAGATCATTATGTTTAAACAAGGTTTGTATAAAGCATTTTCAAGTTAATAAAAGCTGAGGTGAATAATATATTGAGTCATAAATAATTTCCATTTTTGCTTATCAATTTTATTCTTCAAAATGTTACAAATGGCCCCCAAAAATCATTGTGAAATCATTTTGTATAATTGTAAATGATTGATAAATCTTGAACTGATTACATATTAATAAACCATTCAAGGCAGCAATTACAACAAGAAAAGCACTAGCATTAAAGATAAATAAAAATAAATCAAACAATTTTGAGTTTTTGAATATTACATACTTTGTTTCACAGTAATTTTGAGTGTTGTTGATCCAGTTTGTCCCTGCATGTCATAGACAGTAAGTTTAAAAACATATATGCCTACTTTGATGTCCCCAGTGGCTGTTGCAATATTCCGGTCAGTGTTGGACAGAGTCAGTTTTGGTCCACTGAAAGCAACATACCATATTAAACTGAATATCAAAACTAAAACAAACAATTGAGATGAGCAAATAATACATACTTTTATTTATCAAATTTAACAAAAACAGAAGATACTAAAATTATTTTTTCAAAGATCAGGTACACAAGAAAAATATTTTCCAGTTGGAAACAATTTTAATTCTTTAAGATTTGATTTCTATCATAAAACAGTATCACTCTTTGATTAATATTTAGCTAAGGCAGTGATAATTGAGAGTAAGTTTTATTTAAAAATATAACCAATTTCATGCTTTTATTTTCAAGAAATTATCTGTAACTTTATCACTGGATATAATAAAAGCAATAGATTGCACCAGCCTTTATTTAAAAAGTATTCAATGCTAAGATGAAATCATTCATTTGATATATATGATAAAAACATTAAATAGCAACTAAGATACTTTGAAAGACTTGCTAAGTTTGTTATTTCATATATCACAAAATATCAGTTTTATAAAAGATTTAAAAATAAAACATAAGAAAAAAATTATTAAAACATAAAAAGAAAAAAGCAACTGAAGAACATCTAAAAAATTATGCAAGTCAACAATTGTGATTATTTACATTGTTTACATTAAGACTAACATCCTCATCTTTGTTATCACATTTTAGCTGTTGTGCTCTCTAGCCTTTTTCAGGTATCTAAATCTAGTTAACCTTCAAGGAATTTTAAACTGAACCCTTTATTTAATCAATAGATTCTTCTGTCCCTGTCTATGGATAAACTTGTTCTTATTTAGTGCTGCTCAATTATTGCTTGCACTGTATTTTACTGAGTCTAAGTCTGTATTACTCAGTCCATGGATTGAACTGACAATTACTATGTTAACAAATTCAAGGAAACATGAAGAGTGTAATATGCAAGCAAAAGTTAAGTGACAATATAAGAATAAATATGCTGCCATTAAGAAAGCAGAAGGGTTTTGCCAGTGGTGACTCCAGGGGTCGGGCTCAGCCAGAGTGAGTCAACATTCAAGTATAGCTATTTCAAAGTAACAAAAATCTTTCGGGGTGCATTGTTTTCATTCAGCTTGAATTGTTTTAACTCTGTGCCTCAAAAGATTGACTGTAATACATTCATTGTTATTGTTCATGATAAAAAGAAAGAAAGGAGAAAAAAAAACAGTAAAAAAAAGAAATTAATATGGCTAGTCGGGCTGTGTAGATATGAGCCCTATTAAAGCTGGAGACATGCTTAATAGACAATGTACTTCTTGCTTTAATTTTATAAATAATCTTTTAAAAAATCTCTAATGACTTGTATATACAGTTTTTCACAGAACACATTTTTATTTCAACTTATTGTTTCTAAATGTTCATTTTAAATAATTTATTCCATACAATATAAAGTTTTTTAACAGAATGTATCTTTTGAGGAAGTGCAAATTAAATTTAGCCCAACTTAAGTTCAGCAAAAATCAAACTAAGTGGCAGCCTCATATGGAGGGTTGGGGTAAGGAGTGTGACTGGGGTAGCATTGAGGAAATATGATATCAGTCAGCAGTACTGATCATAAATGTACAATAAATTAAACTAAAAATTCACAGACAGGGGAAATACATAAACACAATAATGCATAGGTGTATATACAAACACACACCCTACCATCAGTGACTTGATAACCAGGCTATAAAATGATAAAAAATGGAAAGGGGGCAATAAACAGACAAACATATCAAAGACTTTGTCCTCACTCTTTTTTCTTACATATCTGGAAAACTTTAAAATAAATATTTATTTTTATAGAATTATTACAATTAATATTAAAATATGTTGTTTTTTTTTAATTTCATGAACAGAGTTTTTTAAAATTATATATTTAAGTTAGAGTAAAGGAATTATTTTAGCATCTAAGTTATACCAATTGTATATATTTTGTTAAAGATTGTAATGAGCCCAACAAACATTGATGACTTAAAGTTGCCCCTGGGTTTTGCACTTACCTTACTTGTTCCCACAAGTATTTGACAATTCCTTTGTCATCAGTGCTGTTGTGTCCATCCAGGACAAGGCTTGGAACAGGAAGACTGACAGTCAATTCACCAGCTGTTGAAGCTTTAGGAGGATGGTTCACTTCTGATCAACAAAACACAAATATTTGTGGTTGAATAACATTGAGGAAAAGGAGATAAAAACAAATGGATAAGAACTAAAATAATCAAACAATATTAAAAATTCTACATTGTATCTACTTTTATACTTATCTACTCATTATGTTTTAGAATTCATATACACAGAAAATACCATAGATCAAAATTAAATAAAGAACAAACATAAAATATTTCTTATTTGGAGTTAAAATGGATAGAATTGAAAAGTTAAATAGTTTTGCAAAACTCAGAATAATAATGATATGAAATGTGGGATTTTGATAAACCAAGAACTGACCAGTATGACAAATGATGGTTTTTACTAAAAAATAGGTTAGATTTGCACTTTTGTTGTGTGGGATTCCCAAAGTCTTCCTCGCCTAAAAAGACCTAAAGAACAAAAACCATTTTGATGGGTAATTGATTACAGCTCTATTTATATTTATTTTGGACTGGTCTCAAAGATTTTCAAGGAAAAAGCCAGGGATATTTTAAAACCTTCAGAGGCCATTTGGTATTTTTACATTGTGGGAAATGGAGATATCTTTGTTCCAAATGATTAATCAGTAAATTTTGATCATTTTAAAATTTCATCTACATAGTAAATGTGGGCTTGGGAAATATTAACCAATAAGAGTATTTTTTGTTAGGATATTTGATTAACAAAGAATAGATATCCATAAGATGCATGACCTGCCTTGTTTGGTGATGATAAAGAAAATGGAGTCAATGAGGTCAAAAAGCTAATCAAATTTGGGATAATGAGCAATTGAAAAATAAATATTATTCATCAGAAATTCTGAGTTCCCAAACTCCACCCATCCTACCAAAAAAATTCTCAATATAATCCTTTCTGGCAGTTGGAGATACAGTTGCAACTTAATCCGACTTGAGTCCTTCAGTCACTTGTGAGACAAAACATGAGGAATTGTGGAAAATTATGAAATTCTAAATTTACAATTTCCTACCAAGTTAAGACAGAAGTGGCTGACTACTTTTGCTTGAAGGCAAGATACTGTGGTTCCTTGACTATATCAATTCCACTTTTGTTTTGCTGCTACAAATTATTCACCCTTGGAAAGAATAGTCACTTAGCTGATACTATTTTGGATACTGATATAGTAGAGGCATTTCTCATACATGTTAACAAGATATAAGATGTCAGAGTCTCATTAAAAGCTTCTTGGTTCCAACTTCCTTCAATTGGAAGAATTGATTTTATCAGCTTATAAGAGCAAATAGTATTCTGCAGCTGAAAACTTTTTAGAAATTAGTGACCTTCAGAAAAGATAAAGTTAAAATTTATCCATAACTTGATAGCTAGTTTTGATGATGATTAAATTTTGGATAGGATGACAAAATAAACAGAAATTAAAAATTACATTATCCTTGTTGAGGTTTTCTAAAATGTGGACAATAAATTAATTTCTTGTTATAATCTTACAATGTTCTAATATTTACTTTTGAAGTAATGTCATTAAATTACATCATAACAAATGCTTACACAATCTATTTTATTCCTGAATATATATTTTTAATAATTCAGCCACGTAATAGCTTTTCTTTGCAGCTGTCTATGTCTTATTAGCTCTAGAAGAGCTATGAAAGAGAATTACTTTTCCATTTGGTGAGGGAAAACCTTTTGTATTTGTGCTTGCATTGTTCACAAGTCCTATTTATATATAAAAGTTTTTTTTGTAAAGAAAAAAATTATTTTTCTTTTAAATTATATTTATTATTGTAAATTTCTGTCTTTCATTATCATGAGATGATTTAACTTCTTTTTTGTCTCTGCTGTTGTAAATAACTTGAATCAATTTAATTTTTTTTTTTTTTAAAACAGAATATCTTTTGAAAGCCAGGAAAAAAATGAACCATTGTTCATATCTTTGTACATCATTATGATTATTATTATTACTAAAATTTTTATTTCTATCTGATTTTTTTACTCTGAAGCTAAGTTCTTTCTTAACATTGTAATTATAGCTGAATTATAACAGTTAAATTCTGTTTCTGTTACAAGTTTATTAATTTATTTCACTACAACCCAAATTTGTTAATAAGATCTCGTATCTTTAGATATTTGACCAAATGAAACTTAGTTTTATTCTCATTTCATTAAAATACATGGTCATGACTGATAATTTTAAGTATAATTTTTATAGTCACCAACAAGAAATTCATCCGACTGATTATATTAATTTCCAAGTATTTTTGATGGAAGACAATGTTCATTGCAGAATTATTTCCTTAGTTATTTTTATGCTCAGCTTAAGCGACGAGTTTGGAGTACACTGTGAGTATCAAATGTAGAGGTATACCCCTATGCTATAAAATGCAATAATGACAACCAATAACACTATCCTGGGAAGACAAACCTAATTTCTATGTGCACTTTTTACTTTACTACTATGATCTATTGAAATTTGTCTTTTGTAAAAGCATAACAGAAAAAATCATTTAAAGATTTATTGATGCCAGCTTGGACAGACAATATTTCAGCCTAACATTCCCTCTGAATATCAATTGATGCATAATTATAATGTCTTGACAGATAAAATTACATGTATACAAAATGTACATATTTAAGCATAATGACAAAAATACATACCTGGTTTGACAAATACATGGACATCTGCAGTAGCTGTTTGTCCACCAGTATCTGTTACTTTCAGAGTGAACTTGTAGTTTCCTTCTTCCAAATTGGACAAATTCAGAAATGGAGTACGTACACCCTGAAAAATAATTCCAAATGAAAACAAGTTTGTTTATTGTAGTCCTTCCTTTTTTTAAGACAAGTTTTTCCTTCTTTTTCTTTTCAATGAGTTATGCTTAGTATGTAACAACTACATCAAGCTTAGAAGAGAATGTTAGTGCTCAGATTTCCACCATGAGAGGCTAGGTCAATTAGATTTTTTTTATCTACAATGCTTTGTGTCTGTTCATGAATGAACAGACAGACAATTAACTATCATGACAAGAACTGTTCATAATTTAGAAAGCTTCTTGGACTTTGAATAGAAAAGGTACTATATAATTGTTGAAAATTGATTTTCTGCTTCAACTTAATGATTGACCAGACAAGAAATATGAGAGTTGATTTCATATAAATGTCACCAGCAAGTATTTCAATGATCAGATGAATAAAGGAAAAAAAGTTATTGGTTTATGCAGATGTGACAATGTCAAGAAAGAAAATGTTGGGCATAATTTCAGTGTTCAACTGCTATTTTTATTTGGAATTTTAAAACAGTTTTAATGCATAGAATACGATTAGTTTTTACAACTTCTTTGTTTTAATGTATGTAAAAAGCTATTGTTGAACTTTAGCATTTTTAGTTCAGTCTGTGAAATACATTAGGTTCTTTAGTGAATCAAAATTGCATTTCTATACATTTTATGAACTTGAATACAGACAAGTAACATTTTCTTACTTTTAGGAGGCAACAAAGGTACATTTTTTTTCATTAAGTTATCTAGATTCATAGGTCATTGTGATTATTCATTTTTTTTTTCACTTGTTATTATCACAATATTTTTTTTCATTGTGCCCTCTGGCTTTTGCTTGTTGATCAGGGCATTTGGAACTGAACTAATTCAGTAATCTACTGGGGTAGACTGTTCTTGTTCCACTGCCCATGTCTGTGAATGTCTAGTTTTGTTCTTATTTAATATTGCTCAGTTATTGCTTGTCCTGTTTCCACTGAGTCAAAGTCTGTACTACTGGGATTGAACTCGAAATTATTGTCACCAAATTCATAAACCAATGCTTTGTTTTCTTCTGCAAGACAATCCTGCAGCCTTAAACCTAATTTGCTTGCAGTTGCTTGTCATGTTTAACTGCATTCACTGTAGCTTCTTTTCGCTTACTGCTGCTATTTTTTTATTGACTTCCATAGTGTATATTAGGAAAAGGAGGCCTTTTTATTAAGCCTAGCAAAAAAATATATACAAGAGTGGAGTAAAGCATTGGTTTGGGAATTTGGTAACATTGTAATTGTGAGTGCAATCCTTTTAGACTCAGTGGAAACAGTGCAATAACCAAGCAGTACTAAATAAGAACAAAATGAGATATCCCTGAACAAGCATAGCAAAATGAGAACAGTCTACCCTCATAGTTAAATAAAGGGTTCAATTCAAAATTTGCTGAAGGTTACCCAAATCAACAAACACATGAAGCAAGACATAAGGACACAATGGCTAAAATGTGATAACAGAAATGACAAGGACAGTAGGCTAAATGTATGTAAATTAATTTTGCTACTTTCATTTTTTGACCTTTTATAACTGTCAATGAAGCATCATAGATTGAAAAATAAAGTAATCACCAATAAAATTGTATCTTATAAGAGTGATATAATCAGCAAATGTCATTCAAATTTATTAATTTATCTACATTGTGCCTTACCAGATTTTATTCCATGTCACATTGTTTACACAGAATTGTAGAAGTAGTAATAGTAGTACTAAATATAATAATCTTAAGTTGTCAAAATAACTTAGATGAAGCACTGTTATTGATCAGTCAAGTGGTGCTATTGATGCTAAACCTACTCCTAAGTATGAGATGAGAGTTCAAAGTTCATCAGACTGCTTCTTTATTTTCCAATCTACACTGTTTACTTAACACTGTGATAAAAAGCAACAAAAATGGAAAAAAAAACTAATTAAATATGTATACATTTTTCATTAACATTAAAATATTAGCACTGGTTGATGAAGAAATGTTGTACTGAAAATGCTATTCATATTCAGTATGCTATATTTGAGAGAATGCAGTTTTCCCTAAGAAATAATTGAGGTTTAAATCAATAAATACATCAAAACAAAGTCAAAGAGAGAGAAATACAGACACATGCACACAATGTAAACGTCATCATGAAAATGAACTATCCATTTTCAATTTTTCAATCTGTGTCTAGAAAATGTTCTTTCCTTGAGGGGAAATAACTTAAAAGAAACTACCAATTTACCATCATGTCTGCAGCCAATTGACCATCAGGCGCCTTGGTCCATTCATAACTCTTGATCCCTTTGTCATCTGTGCTAGCATTGCCATACAAAGTGACATAATTCTGTGGAAGGTTAATCACAATGTCAGAACCAGCATTGGCTGTAGGCTTGTAATCTGTCTCTGTAAATGGATGAAAAATAATCACAATTGAAATTTCTTTTTGTTTTGTTCTTTTTTTGGGTTTAAAAAGATATTTGAAATATTTTTCCTTTCTTTTCCCATGTGATATATTTTTAGCATTGAGGTGCATTAAATTTTGAAAACGCATTTTACAAAATTTTTTGATGATTACAATCATCCTCACTTAACGATTTATTTATTTAAATACATATGACCAACTATAAAATCTCATAAAATAAAAATAAAATAAAAAAATCAAATCACTATTGTATGAAAAATTTTCTTTCTTCAAAATCAATAAATTGAAAAAATAAATCAAAATTTACTTTTACTGTATTTACAGTATACAAAGCAAAGCCCAGAATATAGAATTGATTTTCAAATTTCTTTACTACCATATTGTATAGCACATTCTGTATTATATAAACAATTAGACATATTACAAATGGTGTATAAAGTGACATTCAAGCTATCCTGAAGCTGGATGACATAAACCCATTACCCAGGTAGCATGCTTGAAATAGCAATCAGGTACAACTTCTCACTTAACGACCAGCTCATTTACCAACCTGGTCATTGGAACATATCTAAGTTAAGTGGCTATATTTATTCATTACTGTAGAATTTTTTTTAAAAAAACAGTTCCTAAATATTTTTCTGCCTCACCATTATAATTCCTGTGTGATATGAAACTCAAGTGATTAAAAAATTGCATTAATCAATAAATACAGAAAATTTCCATGAGATCATAAGACATCTCTAGAGAATTTAACAGTAGCAATTTTCTAATCTGTCAAAGGTATCAACAATGCTTGGTGTAGCAGATAGATTAAATTTAATATTCCCAATAATCAAAATACTTTGGTGTATTTCAAACCAAATTTAAATTGACTGTAATCATTTGTTTTTCTCCTTATCAGTACAATCCATAAATTCAGCCATATTGATAGATCTGTCAACACAACATAATCCTCTTTATCAAAAAATCTTTCAAAAATAAAATATACTTTTTTGAAATGCTATTTCTGAAAAATTGGTTAATTTGGCAGAGTTTTTTTTAACATATTGAGTGATTTATTCACAGCCTGATGTTTTGGAAATTTAAGTAAGGGGGACATAATTGAAAAAAAAAAACTTACATGAATAAAATTTTTATATAATTTTTTTTTTTTCAACTACCTGGTAATCTTAAAAATTTTAAATATTTTAAGCATTCTAATATTTTATTGGATTTTTGGTACTAAGCCTTACTTATAAAATTTAAATTTATTATTGGTACTTCTTATTTTCATATATGTATGAATGTTCATATTTACAAAAATCAACACACATAAAAAAATTTCAAAATTCCTTTTAAAATACTGGGAGGCACTGATTTGTACTGCTACAAATTAATACAGAATTTTAAAAAATTTAAAAGTTTATAAATTCTAATTAAATTTAAAAAAAAAAAAAAAAAAAAAAAAAATTAAAACAATTCTTGTAAAAATTCATTATTTACTAAAAATGTCTTTTTCATTATGTCCATAATATATTTTATTTATAAAAGCAATTAAAAGCTTTTTTCTAATTAAATGCTGTCTTAATAAAACACATTAATGTGTTTTATTGCATTTATTTTTATTGTTTTATAATTCAGAGAAGATTTTCTGTAACTGAAGGTCCTGTTTGACCAAAATAATTTGATGGTTTAAATTTTCTAAGGACTATATAAACATTAAGTGATACATAAAAATAAAACTAGAGGAGTAACAGATATAAAAAAAAATATTTTTCAAAACATGAAATGTTTAAAAAAAATAATTAATTTCTGAATAAGTCCTGAAAATTTCATTAAAATCTGACAATTATCTGATTTTTGTAAGAATTTCCACATCAATTTAATTGTATGGGAAATTTAAGCACTTTTTCATGGTTAAAAAAAAAAAATTCCAAGCATCTAAAAAAGATAAAATAAAAAAAAAAATTTTTACATAAAAAAAATCCTTTGATCTTTCCTTTTAATAATAAAGATCTTGATGATAAAATTTTGTTTTTATTATTCAAATTAACTACCAGAAAATATTTTTTCCGTCAAATCTGAAACCTCTACAACAGACTATGAAGTCTAGGCTATGCAAATAACACTCATGAAGTTTACATATCACCCATGAAGAAAAAGGGGTACAAAAAATTAATTTACAAGTGGATAATTATTAATAATTTATCAGTTTAATGTGACTTTTGCACATTACTGTACTTTTCTTTTTTAAATTAAAAAAGTGATCTTTATTACTGTGCAACATTTTGCCAGGCAAATGTTTTAAATTTAATTTCCTTCTAATAATGCTTTATTTTTTTTATAATTTTTTTTTTGATAAATCAACTATTTTTAATGAGAACATTGGAAAATCACATTCAGATAAAGAATTAAATAATAGTAAATATGTGGCCATGCCGTGGACTTATAGCCTGACGTGCTTTTACCAATTTTGCCACAGAGGAGCATTTTGGTTAGCAAGGTTGATTTTACCGTTTTTAAACTACAATTTTTCATGATTTTCTCACGTACATTCATATCTACTCGATGCATATACAAATGTAAACAAATGATGTCACACATTATGAAATGGACGAAACCTACAAAGATTATTCTGAAGGAAACAATGATAAAAGTCAACTGTATAGAAAAATTACAGATTAAAGATTTGTCTCAAATACTGAATTCACATGCTATACATTTAGAATATATGGAATGCACTAATATATTTTTCTATATAAATTTTTAAATCAGAACTTGTTCCTGGTGCAAAATTTACTACATAAAATATAAATTTTTAAAAACACCCTTTATTTAACCATTTTCTATTCACAAAATTAAAAAATAAAGAACACATACCCTTGATGGCTGTTACGTTTGCTGTTGTGGAATTTGTGGCTCCATCTGAGTCTATTACAGTTAACCTGGAAAGAGAAAGGGCATTAAAATGTGCCTAATTAACAAAATATAAAGAATAAGCCATTATCTGACTGAAGATGCATTAAGCATTTTTAATGTTAAGCTCGGCAGTTGGCATTCTTTTATTAACTGGGAAAATACTCAAGGCTCTAGCCAATTACATTGGCTGTTGCCTTTTTGGGTATTTGGGATATACATCATCAGGAAGAGTTACCCTGCACCCAAGTAAATTTAATATTATCAACTGGGAGTGAAAGGGAACTTTGATCTAGTATTAAGAGCAATTTTGAATTTTTTTTTTTTTAAATAAAAATAGAATACAATATCAGAGACAAATCACCAAACAATAAATACAGGAACAAATCTTAAGATCTATATTGGAGACTTTTCTTGGACAATTTTTCAAATAATGCATTTTAATCTTCTTAAATAAATGTCAAACAATGATAGATGTTAAAAAAAGATGGTTATGTAAAAAACACTAAAATAGTTTAAAAAAAAAAAAAAAAACTGAACAAAGATGACCAGAAAGGAAAAATGCTTGCATGCACTTTTGGAGGAATTTAATAGTCCAAACTGAATTTGGTAGTGCAAAATTAAAAAGTTAAATTCTTTTTATTATTATCATTATTGATGATGATAATGACAACAATAATAATAATAATTTTTTTTATTAGGTTCAAGCAGTAACTGAGGATGTTGCCATTCCAAAAGTTTGCACCTTGATAGAAATAATTTTATGTATTATCAATTGCTTTTTTTTCTTGCTTTGAATATGTACTGCTCAAAATCTTATTGTACAGTCATTCTTTTCTTTACTATAAGGATAGGGCGTGAATTGTGAAGTATCATTAAGCAATAAATAAGGAGTAATTAATGATTCAAGGCAAATCATTGGAAGTTTCTGTAAAAGTGGATTTAAATACTGCTTTTAAACCTAAGAAACAGATCTTTTCAATGATGTAGGATTTTAAAAATTCTTGTAGATGGCAGTGGGGGAAGCTTCCATAAAATCTTTTCTCAAATGATATTACAAAACAATGTAATTCTCAGATGGAAAGTATGTAGACAAACATCATGCAATTGTGGTGAACAGATATTTGCAATAAACAAAATCTTTAACATAAAAGAATTTTTTGTTTGAAACAAAACAAAACCATTGGATTTGATTTGTAAAGGTGGCAACAACTGGCATCAACCATTATCTATTTCAATTTTGTGTAACCAAAATATGAGAATTTATGTTGAATAAAGATTTACTTCAAATAAAGCAATTTCAACTATATGGTAATGTTAAATTATTTGTTTTTGTTGGAAGGTTATAAGCTACTGGGTAAATTCAGTAATTCAATAAAACTGATTTAAAAGTAAGGTTGAGTAATCATTTACTTTCTTATAAGTTGCATCATAGCAAAGGTAAAGGACTCAAAGGAAAAAACTCAATTTTCTCTGAAGTTGCTGACAGCATTTTTTTAATGTATCACAATTTATAGAAGATAGTAAAACAGATATATATATCTTGAAATGTTCAGTAAAGTTTACAAAATTGTAACTTATTGGAAGAGACAGGAAGTTTGAAGTTAGCTTTAGGTAACTTCTTTTAAGCTATTGATCTCAAGTATGTAGCACCTTTTGATGTAAGGACTTTGAAGAAGTGTTGTATAAAGACAGATCAGCAATGGAAGCAAGAACAGCCTGAACACTCATGAAAATTTTGTCAGAATATATATGAGGTAAGTAAAGAAATAAATAAAAGGATAGATTTTTTAAAATTTATTTTTAAAGCAAAGTGACATTTTCATATATTCTGATGCTTTAAGAGCTTATATAAAATAAATAAGAAACAAACATTCATGATAAGAATAAGAAATAAAAGAATGTTTTATATTTTTGTAAAATGGATTGAGGAAAAGCATGTTGGGTCATACAAACTGAATTTTACAGAGGAATTTTTTTTTTGGGATTGAGGCTGCATTTGGATGGGTGTACAAAGTATTTATTTTACAGTTATATAAAAAAAAACTTTATGCTGCCAAAACATTTTTAAAAGCCTTTTTATAGTTTGATGCTATATAAAAATTGATCATAAAAGTGAAAAGTTGCCCTAATTTTTCTTGTACAGTTTTTGTTGTTTTAAACAACATTTCTACAATGATTTTTGTCAGTTTCCAGAGAGATTGCTTTTGGAGAAAAAAAAAAAAAAAGAAAAACACCCTGGTGGAAGTCAATTTTTATGCACTGGTCTTAAATGGTATAAGTTTGAATTTTATAAATGATCTTCTTAGTCGTATTTGAGATGAAAGAATTCAGAATTAAGAAAAAATAGTGAAAGCACATTTGGCTCTAGAATATAATAACAAACATGAGTTTGAACACTTTTTTCTTAAACAATTTTTATATACATGTATGTATTTTTTTCATATTGAAAAGCTAGTGGGACTGAACAATTTCTGAATACGCTCATCAAGTAAAAGTGCTTGAAGCTGCATTTAAAAACAAACTTGTGTCACATTTGCCTTGTTGGAGTGGCTGAACAAACTTATGTTCTAGTATTTTCTTTAAACTTAGGCACAGGCCTATGAACAATATAACATTCAGTCACAAGGCAATAGTTAAATTTCAAGCTTTATTTTAGAGAAAAATTGATTAATGTTCAACAATGATACACTATCTCCTATTTATACTAAAAGTACAAACTGAGGTGAAGACACCAGGCTCCATGCAAATATTTTATTTGAAAATGTATATTGAAGAGAATAAAATTTTTAATAACTTAATAGCTATAAATTTTTAAAGCTGAAACTTTGCAGATTAATAATTTGATACATTTTAAATGCTGTGTAAATTTTATCTTTCTCTGTAAATTATAATTAAATTTCATTTTAAGTTGGTATCCACTCAAGAGGGATAGTGCTTTAATAAAAGTTTTTTTTTTGTCTGAAACTGATTAGTAGAATATGTTCTAATAATGTGTCCACTATAATTTGCACCTGTCTGATTGGTTAATTTTACCTAGTTTTAATTTATTTACATTATTTAAGTGTGGAGTATTGTCCTAATCTTTGTTGTTATCACAACATTTTGGCCATTGTGCCTTCTGGTCTTCAAGTAGGTGCATTTTGGTCTGGGTAACCTACAGGGAATTTCAAACTGACTTCTTTATTTAATCTACAGGGTTTGATTTCTCATGTTCCAATGCTATTACTTTGGAATGAAATGAAAATATTGGACAAGGAAGAACATTAGAGTTAGACATCTGAAAGAATCAGCACATATAGTAGGCTATGAGGACACCTCCTTAGTAAGCTTAACATAAAAATAGATACAATAAGGGCACAGCTAATAAAGAGTGAAAGACAAATGACAGCAAGTCTTCAACAGCAGTAGCACTCATCAGCAGGCAGGTTAGGTTTAAGGCTCAAAGTTCTCTGCACAGAATTGTGCTAAGGGACAATAACCTACTGGATTAAATTTTTGATTCATAAATTTTGTGACAGTAATTGTGAGTTCAATCCCTGGGCCAGTCAGTATGTATTTGGATTCAGTGCAAATGAGGCAAACAATAATTGAGCAAACCTAAATAAGACAAGATATCTCAAGACGTGGGCAGTGGAAGGAGAACAATCTTGTAGATTAAACAAAGGGTTCAGTTTGAAATTCCCTGGAGGTTATTCAAATCAACATACACCTGATGAGGGTCAGATAACAACAACAAAGATGAGGATGTAAATAATGATTATTCCTCATCCCAGAAATTCAAACAAAAATTTTAATTTATATAGATTTTTTTTACGTTTTTCTTCACAAACACTACAATTATGTAAATTTGTAATATATATATATATTATGGATATACTTAATAGTAAATAATGTTCAATCTCTGTTACTGGAAAGATTTAAATACTGTATTAGGTAGCAAATAAGATACACAGTTTCTGTAAACAATAGATAAAAAATTTTAATTTCTCTGCAATCTACAACCATAAGGTACTTTTGTAAATTTATATCTCGTATTTACTGTCACAGACAGAAATATTTTAAGAATACTTCATTAAAACTGAAATACTTAGAAGCTCAATATTTCATTAAATAGCCATTACATTAGCATCACCATCTTATAAGAGAATTAGTCTTTTGTAACATACTTATCACTAATTTACATTTTAAATTACCTAAATTCAACAGTTACTGTATAATTAATAATTACAAACCATATCATTAATGATTGTCTTCTTAAAAAAGAAATAATGTGAGTTACTTACTTGAACTGATATTCTCCAGGTTCCAATTGATTCAACTTCAACATTGACTTGTTTCCTTCAATAGGACGGTCATTGATTGGGCCACTGATTTCTTCCCATTTGTATTTAACAATTTTAACATCATCAGTACTTTCTGGAAAAAGAAAAGAAAAGAAAAATGAAATTACTAATTAAAGTTTAATATTGAGAATTTAAATTTTTAGATATAGAATAATCAAATAGATATACATGAACAGTCAAAATTATTTTTATATGATTTAGTGATTATATAAAGCCAGAACAATGTTACATGGACTAACTTGCATGATTGAATTAATACTAAGAAAGAAATCCAAGTGCTTAATTGTATTTAGTACCTAATTTAATATGGTTTGACAAAATGATAGGGTAACTACAAAAGAAAAAAAAGAAAATGTTGATTTCCATAGTTTTAGATTTATGAATAATTATTTGACATTTATACATGTTTGTCATAAAAAGCTGTATTTATATTTCTTTCACTTGAAAATTAATGAATTAAAATATTTTGTAATAAAATCTAAGTAAAAAAAGATAAACAACAAAAATAAAAGAAAAAATAAAGTAACTTGAAACCAAAGTATTGAGATTAGTTTGCCAAATCATTCATAAATCAATGTGACATGCTATTTTCATAGGAATAAAAATAAAAAAAATAACAGCTAATTTTTCATAAAAAAAAAAAAAAAAATTAATAATGTAAACATTTTTATTTTTTATTATGCACACTAACTTGACTATATAATTTTTTTTTACTGGTGCTTTTGTTTTTTTAATTCTTATGAGCAAAGATCAATTCAGACGTGTGTTTAGCAAACAAACAAATGTAAAAAAAAAAAAAAAAAAGAATATTTAAGAAAAAAATGATTTTCAGATGAAACTTACTTTGGAGGACTATTTTGTTATTAGCATCAAAACACAAAACAAATAATACATGAATGAAATCAAAAAAACTAATTGCTGTCAGCTAAACTGTTTTGGGTGGGTTAAATCATGTCAAATATAAGATTCTGTCATTTTCAAATTATTTTTATTATTCTTGTAGTTGTAGCTTCTATAAAAGAAGGCTTGCTATAGGAAGTAACTACCCCATATTCCTTCAAAAGATGAGGAGAGCCTATGTGTAAATTGTTAGATTTAAAAACTGGTATTGAAGTTTCAAAGTTAACTTATACACAGTAATACACATATCCACATTTTAATGTATACTAAGAGAAAAACCTTGGTTCAAACTCACTGGAAGGCTAACTAAAGAAGAATTGCTTACTTTCAGTTGCAAAAGAACTGATCATTAAGGTAAGAGCGTAATGTTGTGCATATACACACACAATTATCAGATGTACTGATGTCTTACATGCCATGAGAGACAAGATTCTGAGAACAGGACAATCTTCCTTTGAATAGGCAGCCATAAATTTTTCATTGGAGGCTGGTGAATATATATCAGTAATAGCAATAATCATGGAGCTGATGACCACACTGCTCTGGGCAAATTGAAATGCAGAGTTGACCTTCTGACATTATAATGTGTCATAGAATTTGTATCAAGCTTTGTACTAAGTTGATGGAAGCCATTGAAAGTTGAAGCCATGACAGATAAAGATAGGAAGACAATTCTGTTAAGTGTTCCAGTATACAAGGAGTCTGGCCATTATCATTGGCACTAAATGGCATGAAATTCTACTTTGATTAACAGACATAGCACAAAAGTGTGTGTGTGTGTGTGTGTGTGTGTGTTTGTGCGCGCCTCCAAGCATGATTTTCTTTAAAGGTGTCCAAACAAATTCTCACCAACTTTTTTATTGGGTCTATTTATTATTGAAGGTTACTGAATAAAGAGTTCTTTTTAATAGAATTCTTTAAAAAATAATAAATCTATCAATATTTAAATGATAAATATTCTAATTAAAATGCTGAGACAAAATATTTAACTCAGATTTGGGAGAATAGAGTTAATTTCCTGTAACTGAAGGTTAATTTGTTGATAGGTACTAAATTATGAGTGTGAGAGAATTATCACCTTGTCTACCAGGAGACCTGCTTGGTGTTCTATTCAAGATTATAAAAGAAATGAACCCTCTTTCTCTCTTTTTCTTTTTTACTCTATGATATAGCAATAACAAGGCACTCATTCCCTCTGAGGAAACTTTTTAGTCACCTACAAACTGACTAGTTAATTTCAAACAAATCATATAGACATCACACACTACAGCTAAATACATTAATTTTCTTTTTTGAACAATCTGTATACATATAATTTTTTCTTTCTCTTTTTTTCTGATCTCTGTTATACTTTATATAAATATGTATAAAAATTCCTCCACATGTTGAATGTTGAGTTTTCCACCTCAACCAGAAAAAGTAGTACCTCCCACTACAAACTGGTGACTAACAGCATCCTCATTCAATACAAATTATAGTGCTCATTACTCACCACAAGTTACTCCTTTTTCATTCACAATGGTTTTTACTTTCAGAAAAATCTGTAACTATTTAGAACTCTTTGTCAGTCAATTTTTATGCATTCCAGAAGTAATAAAAACACACATATATATTATAATTTAGCTATGCTTTCTGTCTTTGATAACTGGCGTGGGTATTTATTTATCCCTTAAATCTGCTTGATGGCTGTATAATTCTTTTCTAGCACTGGTCAGTTTTGGTAAAAGTAACATTTCAAAAGCAGGCAGAACAATCTTTGTAACCCTCATCACATGACTCCTGTGCTCGGATTAATAAATGCTTAAATGTTAAATATCATTAAATCACTGAATCCTAAATTGAAAAATGTATCAGAATAGTTGTATATTTTATCAGGTTCTAAATAGTATTAAGATCAGGAGTTTAGAATGAGTGTAGAATGTCAAAATAATTTATTTCTATATCTGTCTTATAATTTTTTTTTAAGTTCAAAATAAATGACCAAGAAAGAAATCTACATTAGAACAAAGGCTTATATTAATTATATAGCCCAGAAAAAGTTTACTTTCATTTATTTTTCTTAATTAAATGCTCATGCAATTTTATAGCATATTAAATTATTAGTAAAAATTAAAAACGTCAAAACACAAGATGTAAAGTATGGCAGGACAGAGACATGAGCTAAAAAATACCAAAAAAAAAAAAAAATAAATAAATTTGCAGTTTATTTAAATATTAGTTATATTGACCTTTCAACAATTCAGATTATACTGCTGTCTTAAGATGTGTATTATTTTTATCTTTTGAAAGCCAAATCAATAGTCACCTTGTAGATGATAAAATAGTTGAAACAATTTGAATTCTTTTGAGAAAAAAATATTCTTTGTAAATTTGTAAATATTTTCGTTTATATTTTAACTTTTTTTTTTTTTTTATTAAAAGTGAAGCATTGACAATTATTTATTCTTGACTAGTATTCTTTTTACCTTAATTTCACTTGATTTTTATCACAACTAATTAGATTGTCATTTTATGATTTTTAGTAAGCAGTAAAGAGTAGAACCTGGGAATCTGATATACCAGACAACCTCAAGCAGAGACACTTTTGAGCCACTGTAGAGGTGGTGTTAATGTATGGTGCCACTGTCTGGAAATCAATTAAAACCCCGCAGTCTAAGCTTGATGGAACCTATACTCAAATGCTGAGAGCTATGCTTAGCATCTCCTGGAGACAACATCCAACTAAATCAGTTTTATGAACCCATCTCTGATATTTTTACAATCTTATGTGAATGCAGAATGTGCTTTCCAGGACACTGCTGGTGAGCAAAACAAAAACTCGTGAGTGATCTACTGTTCTGAACACTTAGCCATAGAGAAAAATGAAATGGTTGCCTCTCTAATGACCATCTGACCTTGATACAAGGCCATGATGGATGGGGTGATAGATTCATGAATGTCCAAACTAAGTCAACTGAATAATAAAATAAAAAGAGTGGAAATAAAGCCAGAGGCTTATTCCTTATTTCCATAAAAAATTCAGTATTTTATGTCATATTTGCCAACCTTCCAAAATATATTCAGTTCCAACCATAAAAAAGAAGAAGAGTATCTAAATATGACATTATGTATTATGAATAAGAAGTTGATTAGCTAAGCTTTGAAACAGCTAGTTGAGGTGCAGAGAGTAATACTTAAAACTGCTCTTGCATAAGTTTATTGGGCAGCACATATAGCAATTTAAAATAAATTTTCCTTTATAAATTTATAAGTGTATATAATGCTGTGTATCTTTTTTGGGCCATGTATACTTATCTGTATGCATGTAATGTTTATATACAATTTAAAATATCAAGTGATATTTTCTTATAATAAAGAACATTAAAAAATGTTTGCAATTTTACAAAAAAGACAAAAACAAAACTTTGCCCTTTTCATAAATATTCCAACCGTCAATATCTCATCTTCATTAGCTTAAGTTTGTCATCTATATTAATATTCGTTAATGTATTGAATATGTTTGAAATATAAAGCAAAACAAAAGATCATATTGGGTTCTAGTTTACATAACCTTTCATCAAATGACAAAAGGTACATTTCAGACAACCAGGTATATTGAGTAAGTTTTGCTTCTGTGAAATTGAGTACATATAGCTCCACCCATGTAAAAAAAAACAAACAAAAAAAAAACAAAGATAATGACTTATTAAACAAATATTTTCCAAAAATGATAAAATTTAAAAATCAATATATTTTAATGAAAGTCTTACCGGAGCCATCCAAAATAGCAGATTTGGGCAATTTAACTTTTAGGCTGGTAGGTTTGATGATGGCCACTGGGGGTTTGTTGGTTCTTTTAGCTGAAAGTAAGGAAAGTGAAAAAATAGAAGAAAAATAAATTATTACCTAACATCTGTTGATTAGTTATAATAAATCATAAATTAATCTTATATCAGTCAGTTATTGTGAAATAGCTTCATGGCTAGAGCACTGAAATGAAGAGTATGAATTCTATGGTTCAATATTTTGTGTTAGAAAAGTGAGGTTTGATAATCATAACTCAAGGAAAGAAAATCTATAGCTTCAAAATAAGACAAGAGTTACTTTGCTTTGAAGATCACATGTATTAAAAAAAAAATTAAAAGAGGGCACCACTATGACAAATACTGTCATTTATGGAAATCTTGATAGATCATTACAGCTGATACTACTTACTATCACAGCTGGTAAAAAGAAATCTTGATGATACAAATATGACTTGTTCATCAAAGGTACTGATTTTGATTACTGTTGTCACATTGCATTATTTCACACCTTTGTTGGATGCATATTTTGAAAGAAACCACACTTGTAAAGGTTTTATAAGTATATATAGATATTCTGTAATTAACATTTTTTTTATTTTAGTTTGTGTGTAAGAAAATGCAACATTTTCACTAAGGTTATATTTATAATTCTAATGACCAGAAAGAAGTTTAATATTATAATCTAATTTAATGTTCATGAGTTTTTTTAAAAAAACAAAAACATTTTATAATATGATTTATATCAGATTTACTTTTGTCAAATAATACTGTGTATTCTTGTTAATGTAGCCTGGAGAAAATGAAATTTATATGATTTTAAACAAAAATGTCTATTGTTATTTTCATGCATGTAGAGTTTGCTATGAACAGAAAAGATTTTTTCCTTAAGTAACCAATCAGCTCTGATTGAACTAGATTACTGAAGGACATTCTTTAAATTGAATAAAAGACATATAGAAACTTCAAAATATAAGATGTAACAATAAAAGAGTTTAACTGGTTCTCAATGAACCTAATCAAATCAGCTCACAAACTGAACAAGAATATATGTCTTAGAGAACTAGTAAACTAGGACCAAATACTATTGTCTAGACATGTTTACATGCAACATACATGGAAGAAGAGAAGGAGAAAGATGCATATTGGGTAGGAGGAAATCTTCAATCAATATTCATTATAATTTATCTTTTAAAGATGTTTCATAACAAAAATATTTTAAAAAAATCAGAAGTATTGGTAATATTTTCAAGAACAAAGCAAACAATTATAAAACCAAAATTTTTTATAAAATTCAACAATATGGAGAAGTTTTTTCCTTCCACATTTTATAATATAGACCATGAATATAAAAATAATATTATTTGGTGAATAATCACACAAAACCTAAAAGATCTGTTAATTTGGTGTTAATTTCTGAAGTTATTTTCTACTCTTATTAAAATATGCTAAAACATTTTATATTTACTTTTTATGTGTTTTAAAGGTTATTATATTTGCTCAAAAGTTGATTTGTGATTTACTTTTGATTGACAAAATGAAAATAAATACTTAAATACCATTTCACCAGGTGAAGTGGAAGGAGAAGAAGAGTCAAAAAAGTTTCAAAATCAATCAATCTGTATTCAAGGATATAATAGCTGATCTTTATAAACATTTTGACATTCTAATACAAGACAAATACCCAGACAATTTCTTTCATTTGACTTTTTATTTGTTATTCTATATTACAAGTTGGACTTTAAATTTTCATTAAGTCTAGTCATTGTTAATAGTCTTTTTGGATACAAGCATCTCAATATTGTCCAGGACAAAATAGCTTTCATGAAGAACTTTTAAAAGCAATAGAACAATATATATATATATATATATATATAATTAAAATGAAAGGTGGCCCACATGTACTTCTTAGATTTAACAGCTTAGTTAATAAAATTTGAAGAATAAAAAGGCAACAAAATGATACCAATATTGTCAATAAAATTGATACTGTACCTTATCCTTCTGAATGAAATGAAATATGAAGAGATAGATTTTAAAGTTGAAATTTTCAGACATGCCTGTGTCCTTATTCAATGATACAAGAAATAAACAAAGAAGTGAGATTTACTCTTCTGAGGAATGTTGTTGGTTGGAGGTCTCCTTGTGGAAATTATACTCACTGAGTAAACCCAAATCCCTGTTTAAACCCTCCATATTTGAATTTATTTTGAAAATAAATTTCAACTCTGATCTGCATCTCCCTTCTTGGTTGTTGAATGAAGATGCCAAAATTATGTATCTGATTCATGCTATGAAATGGTTGGTTGAAGCATAATGCAACAGGGAAATTGTTATCTCTGATGGTTTTCTTAGGGTTATAAACTAAAGTTTGAATTCCATTCCTGCTTCTCCAACATAATTTCATTTTGTGGCAAAAAAGCAGATCTATAAGATGTGAGCTACTACAATTCAAAACCACTGGTTTGAATACTATGTGAGTGCCAGGGGGTCTAAAATTGCTATAAGTGATGATATGGCTACAGACCTGGCATTGGGGTTTATTACAGGTGACATTCCCTTGGTTAGGTGGTGAATGATGTATACTGGATATTGTTAAGTGTGTGTGTAGGCTGGGGGGTTGGTGCCTAGTATGAGGTGAGTTTTCATTGAATATTTTTCAAATTGTTTGGCCAAATTTTAAATACTGATTAAACAGAGATTTAGGTTTACTCAGAGAGTATAATTTTCAGTCCACAGAGATGTCAAGAACAATCTGAGGGTTACCAAGTATATTTTAACTGGTTTGAATGACTGTATAATGTTGACCTACAAGAAAGATGGCTAAGAAAGACTCCATTGCTCCAAACCAAATATGTCTTCTTCTATGTGCCATATCCTTGGGCAGTCACATCTCTCCACAACTTCCTCACCTTTGTAGCTCAAAGTAGTCTTTTTGCTACCTCTCCTAATCCCTGTTTCACCAACCATTTATTCAACCTCGTTAGGCAAGTTATGTACTGTGTTCTTCTGTCCCTTTTTGCTAAATGTCACCCTTGCATGAATTCAAGCTTTTGGTCATCAATTCTTTGATCAGATGAAACAAAATTGAAAAAAACTTCTTGAATATAAAGATGTTGCTTTTGCTTGGCAACAGTCAAGCATGATGATGGCAGCATTATGCTATGAGGATATTTATCAGCCAATGGAACTAGTAGCTTGGTTAAAGTGAATAGTTGAAATCTAGTCATATTTTGAACCAAAACATTAAACAGGCCACCAAAAACCATGGACTAGAATATCAGAACTACCAAGAAGGCAATGATTTAAACTATGTGAAAATTTGCTAAAAAATGATTCATGGACAATAATGTTAATGTTTTTGCTGTAACCCAATTTGTGAAGAAAGTTGATGACATGAATAATTATGAAGAAGCCTTAGGGACTGAGGGGTCTGTCTTAGAAAAAGAATTTTGGACCAAAATACTTGTAGAAAAATGTTGGTATTGATTGATTTGTATTTTTTTTATGGCTTATCAAGTCTTTGTGGGTTATTTAAAGCTGAAACATTTTGGAATGTAAGAATAATTCTTTTTGCAAGTGAATATTGCATTCACTTTTGAGTATAACAATGATCTTTCCAAATACGAGTTCTATTTAACCCATAGCTGGGGTGAAGAGGTAGGTGAATTCATACATTTCCCAAAGGTATTTGGGAATTAGTTATTAAAATATGGATATAAGTAATTTTGAACTTACCATTTATGATCAAATTGCAAATAATACTTAAATGAAATAGTTTTTCTCCATATTCCTCATGTATTATCTCTTTCATTCTTTCTTTATATATCAGTTTGGTTAGGGAAAAAAAATCATTTCTTTAATGAAAATCTTTTCCAGAGGCATGACTTATTTTGGGCTTAACTTCGTGTGTGTGCATGTGTGTAAATATGGATTAAAGTGCTCAATATTAGGCATAGGGCATACATAAATATAAGTAGTACATACACACATATAAGTGAACTTTTATATTTATATATCCTCCATGCCTGATATTGAGCACTTTAACCCATACATACAGCATACCTTAAAAACTATATATATATATATATATATATATATATGCTCTCAATATTATTATTATGCTCTCGATAATTTAGGTTGAGCACTATTGAGAGAGATGAATTCTAAACAACAGCCATCTCCGCTAACACAACAACATTCTTCATTAAATGAACTGAGCACTATGGCTGTCTGGTGTTTGTTTACATTTGTAAAAATAATACGCTAAAATTTCCCTTTCTCTCTGCCATGCACTGATAGCTCAGGGGTAGAAACTCCAACTGATGCCAAATCAGTCTGGTTTTAATCCTGGCTTGAAGCAATCAGATGTCTAACCACACTGATCAGTTGTGATAGAGCAAAACAGACCTGTATGTGGATCACACACACACACACACACACGGTGGTAACCGTAAAAAGTAATTGCATTTTTTTATTTATTAAATAAAAAGAATAAAAGTAAACAGAAAATTTGACATACTGTTAGCCATCAAAGTAATCCCCATCAGCATCCAGAACATTTTGCCAACATGCCTCCAGCTGCACAATGCCTTTGTGCTAAAAATCAGGTGTCAGATGCAAAAAAGTCTGAGTGTTTGCCACAAGTCTGTCTCATTTGCAAAGGAGTTTCCACAAAGGTGAATAGAAGAAGCACAAGGTTAATGGCACAGTGTCTCCCAGTCAAGTCGCTGTATGGTATCCCTGGACACATGTGCCACATAGGAACAGTATACTCTTGAAATTCTGACACCTCCTGCATTAGTGCATGTTGCACCTGTTCCAACTGCTATGAGGACAAGTCGGTGGTGATGGTTTGGCCTATTGGTAGCAGTTCATAGTGTACCACTCATCAACTAATTCACCAGATACAAAGCATTATCTTGTGCGGATGTAGAGGTGTCTTGTGGTGTGAGATACAGGGTCCCATGGTGACAGACAATGTCTGGCATGCTTGGGAGAATTATGCAGGACCCACTTTTTGTTACTGGTGAGCACTTGATCATATACGAGTACATTAACAAGAAATAGGCTGTCACTCATTGCTTGTTAGCATCCAACAGTGTGTGGGAGTACCCATTTGCTCAACTTGTACACCTTCCCTATGTCTGTGCAGGTGGAGTTTGACTGTTGTCCTCCTCTATGGCTGCTTTCTGGGCCTCATCATCCAAGACCTATAGCCAGCCACTGCAGGGTTTATCACAAAGGGATAGATCTCCTGACCTGAACTTCAGGAACCAATGCCTGGCGGTGCAGTCACTCAAAGCATTAAAAAGGCTTCATGTATTGAGTACCTTGATGTGACTGTGGACAAGCTCACCTTTAAGTCATAAAGCAGACATGAATGAGCTCTTTTGACACAGCCATGTTTCCTCACCACTGCTTGAGCTATGACTGATGTATTTGCACAATGCACTTGCATTGGTCAAAAGCAATGTCCCTACTCTTACCACTTTCCCAGTATATGACTCACTCATTTGTGTATCAGTGATTGCTTCTTTCCACAATGTAAAAAAACAGCAAGAACTTTTTATATTTTTTTTTTTTTTTTAGATAATTAGAGAACTAGTAAGGATTATTATAAAAATAAATAGATATAATATGTCTATATTTAATGAAACACACTTGAATGAAAAAATGCTGCCTATATATATATATATATATATATATATATATATATATATATATATATATATTACACACAATGACAGGATCAAGTTAAATTATAAATTCATCATAAAAATAAATAATGAAATATAAATGCAAAATTTTTAATTCAAACTACATTGAATTATTACTTACGAGGGATCACAGTTATATTGACAGCAGCCTCTCCAGCCTTGTTTTTTCCAATGACATCTACTTTCAATGTATACAAACCAAGAACCAACTGTTTAAAAAAAAAAAAATTCTTCAGGTATTTAAATCATCTCATTTGATTTTTTTTTTTAATCCATATTGTAGATCAAAGTGAATGGCATAAGTCAAAGCTCATGCAATAGCAAACATTACATCAAAATAAACTGATAAAATTATATGAACTGCAGCCAAACATAAAATCCAGTATCAATAAAAAATAAGCTAAATAAAAAATCAATTGCAAAGATCAAGTGCTTGAGAGATGTGACTTAACTTTTCAAAAAATAATTTTCAATTAGATCATTTTAAGGTAAGAAATATTATTATAAAGGACATAATTACAAATTATAAGCCAATGTGTTCATTTTTTTTAGCATCTATGTAATTATCATTTTGGTACATTCAATATATCAAATTATAAAGGTACTGTGGCACTACTTAAATTGATTGGTCCGTTTTGTAAAAAAAAAAAAAAAACAAGAATTTTTAACAATTTTTGCAGATTTACATTATTTGAGCCTTTCTCAAGCTATGGCATTTGTCAAAACCGAAAAATATTGATTTTTTAGAAGTAGCATTGTGTTCATAATATATATTGTCAAATTGATCCTGACTTCTTAAAGAGTTATCTGTACTTTGTTTTTATTTACAAATCAAGCTTGAAACTGTGTTTATATCTTTGATAACTCCACACTATTGACACTTTTTCTCACTTTATAATAATTAGTATATATTTATCAATGATCTAAATAGTTTCATACTTGGCATTTGTAAATAAAAATAAACCACGGATAACTCTTTAAGAAGTCAAGGATTGATTTGACACTGCATTTATATTATGAACAGGAGCATCTTCTAAAATGATAAAAACAAATCAATATTTTTCACTTCTGACATATGTCATGGCTTAAGGAAAATAAATATTATTTGACACTCAATTTTTTATGAGTGGACCAGTCAATTTAGATAGTACCAGTATTTATTCCTAATAGATTCAATGTAACAATTTAATCATATTAAAATTAGCACTAAAATATAATAACTAAGTGCAAGTTTTAATTGAAACCATACTACTATGATGCAAAAAGGATTTTATTGAAAAAGAAATTACATCTTTAAGGGTGAAAGTTGGGCTGTCAGGACCAGACATAGACCCTTTCTCTGCTCCCTCAGGAAAATGGATCACAGACCATTTGTAATGATATTCTTCATCTGCAATTCAAGAAAATGAAACATTTTCAGAAACATGTTTTATTTAATAGTTAAAAATATGTAGACGCACACACACACACGTGTGTGTGTGTGTGTGTGTGTATTTCGTTCTTTATCTTTTTTTGTGACAAGATTCGCCCATTAGAATTTTATTGGACTAGACTTAGTTGATGTTACCACATATACACAGGTGCACAGAATGAGAATCACTGGTAGTTTCAAAATTTTGAAAGATTATTTTTTCAATCTAGCCAAATTCATCTGTATTTTTTTATCTTTCCATTACCTTTGTCCCTGACTATCCCAAATTGTGACAACAAAAAATCTATCAATTTTAGATATTGATAGGAAGAGGTTTATTCTTTGATTTTGTTAGATGATTTTTTAAGAGATTTCAGCATTTTTCAACTGGGATATTGGTATAAAGTGATTTTATATATAGACTGGCCATGAGTTTATCAGTCATATTTATTTGCCTTCGTTTTTCAACAAGGTTGCCTGAATGTTTTTATAAGTGATGGACATATTGTTCCAAGTAGAGGCTAATATATATATATATATATATATATATATATATATATATATATATATATTTTTAAAGACATTTTTATATTTATACATTCTTTTTATAGATAGAAATATTTAAGTAAATGCTCTGTTTATAATAAGCAGTATTAATAACATTTACCAGCCTGAATGTCATTTTTCATAGAAAATATTCGTCCTCTAACAGGAATCGAACCTGTATCCAATACGGAACCATCATATAGCCTGACGTGGCTTCACAGATTGGGCCAAAGAGGATTGTTCATTTAGCAAGGTCAATTTTACTGCTTTTAAAATCCAATTTTCCATGATGGTCAGACTGTCTATATACATCTTTAATAATATAATATATATATATATATATATATATATATATATATATATATATATTATATATAATATATATAAAATATATTATATATAAAATATATTATATATATATATAAAATTTACATACAAAGAATAATCACACATAGAATTAATCAGAAGTATCAATGCGATTATTGGCGACATCCATCGCTAGAAAACATAATATATGCATTAAAATCCTGTTCATCCTGGATTTAACACATCACAAGAAATATTTAAATAAAATTCTCACTTAAAAATTTTGAAAATCTTAGCGTTGCGTCTTTGCACGTTCCGATATCTTACAACCGTCAATAATAGCAGATATTCAAAAAACATCTTTCGGTCGACATACAGGTATATCATCTCAAGTTTTTGATTTTATAAGGAAAAAAAAACACATGCCTGATGATGGATGGAAGACTGTCCGTAAGTACTAGCATTTTAACATCAAATAAACTGAAAACTACAGACAACAAGTTTTTCTTCAAGGATCAAAACTCGCACTATGGATGAACAGGATTTTAATGCATATATTATGTTTTCTAGCGATGGATGTCGCCAATAATCGCATTGATACTTCTGATTAATTCTATGTGTGATTATTCTTTGTATGTAAATCATATGCTGCCTAATATTTTTTATTTTATATATATATATATATATATATATATATATATATATATATATATATATATATATAAAATATGTATATCTTTCTTTATCTATCTATATATGTAGAAATACATAATTTGAAGGAATGGTTGTACACTACATAAAAAATATAGTACAATGAAATCTAATGTTATTTTCCAATAACTTAATCCAAAATTCTTAATAATTAAGAATTGTAATAAATCTTTGAGTATAATAATAATAATTCTTGTTCAACATTTATGATGATCTCAGAGCTCAAGTTTTTGTCTAAAGAATATATTCATGGATGCCAGAAGAAATAACATATATGGACCAAGACTACCACAAATCAAAACCACACAAAGTTTTTTTTTAAGGATGAATAGCACTTTAGAAACATAAATCTAATTATATTTATTAGTGTTTATTTTTACCATAACTGGTACAAGCTCATGGCATTTGTCATACCTCAACAATTCAGCACTTTAAAAGGTCAAAAGAAGTAAAATGAATTAGAAGGTTGCAGGATTCCCCTGTATTATGGTTTACACTGAAAACTATCCATTTTGCTCAATAGAAAATATAAGTTGTTTTATTTATTTTTAAATGGTATCTGCTATAGTTGTAACTTTTTTTCTGTTTGAACTGTTGATGTTTTTAATTGGTTATTACTTTCTTACAGTTTAGGCTCTTTTTAGGTCAAACCTAATACCTGAGGTTCCCCAAAAGGGAAGTGTTGAGGGAACTGGGTATTGTTTGCTACCAATTCCATGTACACATCTATCACTTGAAACTTGATGTACTAGCCTTGTACAACATTTTGTTTGAGTGGGTGTGTGGGCAAATGTTTATTTTAATTACAAAGCAACTTCCACAAAACAAAGAGCATGAATTGAGAAACATATTTTTGCACTGGTTTTAAGAGTCAGAAGACCATCTTGATAGAAAATCTATAAAAATCCATATTCAAGCCACATAAAATATTTAATAGCTATACATTTAAACAACAGAGACTAATGAATATTTATAACTTATGTTGTCATGTCTATCCAGATGTTCATACAACCTTGGCCTACAAGCAGACTATATAAATTTTATGAGCTTCCAGGTAGCACTAGTATTTGATCATTTTCTTTTCCAAAGTAAAAAATATATGACTGTACATTTATTGTAAAGATCACAGTTTCAATTAGAAACTGCTAATCTGCAGGTGGCATTGTTTGTAATGATGTACAGCTATTACTTGAAATGAGTTAAGTTCCAATAGGATCTATACAGGTGGAACAATTACTTGTCAATAGGATTTAAAAGGTATATTACTTCAGTTCACACACATACACTAGCAGGTTAGGTTCCAATGTTAGAGAAGAGGTTTATAATTTCATTTGAATTTTGAAACATCTTAAATTTTGACAGTTTTCAAGACAAATAGATTTCAAATAAAAACACTCCCATTAATTATCAATAAATTTTTTAAAACTATATTTTATTTACAGGTGTGAAATATTACCAAAACAATGTTGGAATTCTTTCCAAAAAAAGATAAAATCTATTGCAGTTCCTTTATTCGCTGATTGACAATTTCCAGACAAGCAATTTGAAGTCTGAAGTTCCAGATTGGCAAAAACTCACCTTGACAAAGAAGAACTAGTGTCAAAATAGGTTTTAAAAAATCTCCAGAAGTTGTATAGTTATTGTAACATTTATAAATTTAGATGGCACATATGTCAGCTTCAAAATATTTATATAAAGTACAAGTTTATCTGATCTATTGAAAAATAAAAGATCTGTTCTTTATTGGCAAAATAAAAAGTATGAAGACAATATTTTGGTAAGAAAGAATTTATATAAGTGTCATTTTATTTCCCTCTATTGTTGAGGAAGTTACAGAATTATGTAATTTTGCTTATTGTGTCAATACAAAAAATAGGAGATAGAGATCAATGAATAAAATAAAAAGATGAACAAAGCTGATGCTAAGGAAAGAAATTTCATTTTAAAAAGTTGTCATTTTGTATATATAGAAACATACTTAATAATTGCAAAAAAAGGTTGAGAGAATCAGCAGCAACAACAAAAAAAAGTCAGATGCTTTGTTAGTGAATCTATGATCATGAAAAATGATATTTATTTCCTGTTGGTATTAAGGGTTTTACAAGTACTACGGAGAAATGAAAATAAATCCAAATTCAAAATTTAAATTAGTTCATTTCTTTCTGAATTTCTGAAATGATTATAGTCACAATGTTTCAGCAGTTTTATCTTCCAGTTTTCTTCAGTTAATTAAATAAAAAGAAACAGCTAATTTTAATAATCTGTTACTCTAATTTAAAAAAAAAAAAATCAGTTTCCTGTCAATTATCCTTAAAACATTATATGTAATTTGCTGATATTGTTTTGTTAGAAATTATTATATAATATAAACTATATTAAAATATAAAGTAAAAAAAAAAAAAAAAAAAATTCTCAAACCAAAAAAATTTTTTTTTTTTTTCAAATATGAAAATGCTAAAACAACTGGAAAGACTGATATAAGCCACCACCTCCCACACTTTTTGAATGGCAGACAAAATCTAATTCCAAGAAATATCCAAGTGAGTACAATATATCTCAATTCCTGTTAGAAGACAAAGTTTTTGCTGAAGCTAATTTACCTTTGGAAAGAACAAAAAAATATTTGAAAAATATTTATAAAAAATATTTCTTTAAAAACCACCTAGCTCTTTTTTTCATCTAAATATACTACTGAATGATTCCAGAAGTCTTAGAAAGCTATGGCATGTGGCTTTGTAAGTATATATTGATTAGAAGTCGTCTTATTACCTGTCTTTTATTTCTTGGTGAACAAGACTGATGCATTTACATAGAGAAAAAAAAAGGGAAAAAAATTATTTGCAGTCATATGAAAAAAAGAAAGTTTTATGTATGAAGAAAGTTATTCTAAGATTTGTTCAAATAGTTTAAGATGCAGGTGTGTTCTAATGTGCAAATAGATTTATTCTTGTAAATCCCTACAGATATACAAGAACAAACAACACTGTCTTCATATGTCTGCAAAAAAGAAACATATTTTATAATTAAGATTGAGAATTTCAATACTGAATATTAAGTGAGGACATGCTGCAAGAGTCAATATTATTTCATTGACTAAATATCAAAATAATTTTGCATGTGCAGCAATTATGATGCTTACAAAAGTAACCAAGATTTCAAGTATGGTAAGCCAATGTACAGATTTATAGTAACTGAATCAAAACCTCTCCAATATAAATCAACTAAATACTGACAGTTTTAATGCTGTAAATATACTTTTGTCATTGTGTTTAATATCAGGTTTTGTCATTTTTGGTCATCAATCTTTCAGCTGTTCCATAAGATGTTTATAAATTTAAGTTAGCTTTTTGGATTCCAATATTCGCTTGAAGATGAAATGGAACTAATGCTTTTAATTTAATTATATAATTAACTTT